AATTAGTATAGCTTACAGACCGCGTGTGTTTAGAAGAAAACACTTGCCATCACAATCTGGTAAGTAGGTACTATTCTGTCACTTATGTGATTATATATAACGGAATACACAAGTGTCTAAAATAAGTCATACATTTTTTCTAGAAGCCTTTTTTATTTCTTTTTATTACTTAAAACGGTACTCTAATTTGTAATGTCATTATGGGTAGTCATATTACAGTTCTTACTTATATTAATAAAATTTAGTTTTTACGAGTCGCAATATAAAAAAAGGACTTGTATAAAATAATTATTGAAAGAGATATAGGAATAAATTATATCACACATATCAATAGCAAAAAATATAGATTGATAGTAATGTTACGATTATGTGATTAAGTATGATTTTTTACTATTATACTATCAATCTTTTGGATAATAGTTACAAACAAAAGAAATTTCTAAATTTAAAAACTTTTTGCTAACACAATTGTACATAAATTACAGATTATAATATAGACCGTATTTTAATTTATAATATATGTATCAATGTTTTTCTAAAATAAAATTTGGAATGGTAGCATATTTTACCTAACGCTTTATGTTTATAAAGTATTGCACTTTCATTACCGATATCACTTTAACTTTCATAATGACAATTACAAGAACATTTGAACTTGATGTTACACGCGTAAATAAGAAGAAAACGTGCTTAAATTTTTCTCAATTATTTCGACAAACTTGCTTCGCTCCGATTTATGCTTCTCGAATGTAGGACATCTGGGCCAAGTGTATCAAATTTTGGTCGATCAATCACTCCGAATCGCTGCGACGTTAGCACTCACTGTCCACTCACCGTCATTGTCGTAGGTCGATCATCCGGAGCGAGCAGGATGACAATGGAAGATCGCACGGGTGGCATCGACCGCGCCACCCCCGCGACCTCGACGCCGGCCACGACGGCATTAACGTCGGCGTGCCCCGCGTCCATCAGCGACGTCACGCCCGACGCTTCGTACCCCCTTCAACGAGCTAGCAAGCGCTCCTTCGATGTCGCTTTCCTCGTAGCGCCCGATGAGAACCTGGCGCGTCGTCAGCACGAAAAACTGCGATTGATAACCGGACGGAAGGACCGTTCGCGAGACGACATCTCCGTGGACAACGTTTTGGACACTGACAGGCTGCCGCAAAACCTCACTATCAAACACTACGACAACGAGTCTGGCGGTGGTTCAGACAGAAGAAGATTGCTGCAATGCACGGAGAACTCACTCAGTCCACCATACGTATCACCCAGAACCTTAACGCCAACCTTGCCAGGGCTTTCGCCAGATTCTGACAGGAGGAGATACGCGCCGACCGGCGGTCGGCTTCAGAAGACCCCGAGTCCGCCTACCTTCATCGGCCATCATCAGTCTATGCTGACCTGTCCGGATTCGACAGATTCTTCGATCTTGGCCTGCCCGAAGGTTTACGAGACTGGTATCTCCTGCGCGACCGATCGCCACGGGGAATCCCGCAGTGCCTTCACGAAGGTAAATCTGATCGGGCAGCGGAACGGCTTCAACGACGACGGCCAAGCATCGCCGAGGTCATCGATATCGCCGGATGATCGCGCGAGTTATCAGAGCAGCGTCAGTCCGCCGGTGGTGTCGTTGCCCGGTGCGACGAGCTACAAGTATGCGCCGTTTCCTACCAAGATGGCGTACCCTTTTCTGACCATGGGAGCAGAGGCCGGTCAGACGGGGCTGTTGGAGAACTTGAAAATCCCGCAGATCGCTCAGCCGCCTAAGGTGCCCAGTCCGAAGATGCCCGCTTTTCGACCGGATCTTCCGCCAGTTTATCCCAATCTTCCCTACAACCCCATCTCCGTATTCCCACCGATGGCGGACGCTCTCGCCAGGCCGAGATTCCTGGCTACGGCCGCCGGGGTGGCCGGCCTCTTGCCGCCGTCGTTTGCCGCTCTGACTTTACCGGCGCAGAACGTCTGCGCCAAGTGCAACCTGTCGTTCCGTATGACTTCCGACCTGGTCTACCACATGCGCTCTCACCACAAGAGTGAGAGTGCGGGCGAGGCGGCAAGGAGGAGGAGGGAGGAAAAACTCAGGTGTCCCGTCTGTGATGAGAGCTTCCGTGAGAGGCACCATCTCACTAGACATATGACCGCCCATCAAGATAAGGAGAGCGACGGCATTGTTGACCAGGTCGAAATCAAGAGGAGGACTACTACTGTTCACAGTAAGTGACGACGAAAAATGCCGATCGAAGCCGATATTCTAACGGCTGGCTATTCCTTTGAGAACTGAATTGGTGCGCAATGAGACGTAGCAGATTATGGAATTTGTGATAACGGTGAAATTGTTGTCCATTTATATCTTATTAAATTGAGAGAGAAACTGAGACATTACTTCTTGCAAAAAAAAAAAAATGTTCGAGCTATCAGAAATATATAAATTTAATATTATCATATTCTCAGTAATTTTGGTTAAACAAATTTTCCACATCTTTTTCATCGTGAATATATGTAATGTGCAGATTTACAGAGGCATTTTTTATTTAATAAGTATTTGTTTGCTAATTTAGAATCGATTTTTTCTTAACAAAAATATCGATCGATTAAGTTTTTAAGCTATGAGCGATTGAAAACGAAGACTTTCCCGGGAATTAAATTTCAGGAATGCAAGTATATGAATAATTTTGTTTTTTATTTAATTTGAATAGATTCAAGTGGATACATTTGTAATTAAAAGATTGATTATAACATATATTCTTGCTAAGAACAAATCGATTTGAAATTGAATAAAAAACTAAAAAAAGGGCCGCTCCTTGAATTTACACTCTGTATAGATGTATACTATTGCGGTATTTACATTGTATACGTGTATAATAAGAAAATTTTAATGTCTACATAGAACAATTAATATCTACGGATATGTCGATCCATATACAAAAATACCCTAGTATAATTCATGCACTGCGATGAAGACATTCCCTGTCTAGTCAATATTAGGTAGGAACAATTTGTAAATAAATTTAATTGATTAAAGTAAGTAAAATATAAGAGTTATCTGTGAAGAAAAAAAGAGAGAGAGAGAGAGAGAGAGTGTGTGTGTGTGTGTGTGTGTGTGTGTTTGGTAATTGAATTTGATCAATTTAAAATATAGAAATTTATAGTTTTTAGAAAATAAAAAATTTATTGAAACATTTCAAATTATAATTCTTACGTTTCTTTAAGAAAAAGATTGAAATATCAAATAGAATAGACAGACTTTGAGATGTAATTTCGATTTTCCGCAGAAAAATATAAAAATTTAAGCTATAAGAAATTTAAGATAATCTACATAATTAGTATTTGGGTATATGATTGAAATACACATTAAAATACACATTAAATTCATTAAATAGACATTAAAATTCTAAAGTACTTTTAAACGTTTAGACCTTACATATTACATCCGTTTTTATATTTGAGTGAGACAATGAGTATTTGATATTTCTATCTCTTTTTTTTATATAAATTCTCAAAATTTTATAAACTTTAAAATATATTGAAGATTGTTCAGAAACGTTTAATTATTTTAAAAATAAATAAAATAAACAATCTAAAAACACGTACGTAGCTCTGGACACGAAACCAACTGTAGTAATAAAGTATCCTAAAATCATGCAGTTATTTGAAAAGCAGCGTGCTAAAATTGTCAGAGATAAAATAATCGCAGTCGTATTTCGATATACTCGCAAATTACATACGGTCCATTCGAACGACTCCATTTCCACGATGTATTGTAGAAAGTAAAATATTTGCCGCGTATTTACAGCGGCAGACAGGTGAAACGGGTGTAGTGGGTGCGAATGTGGCGATAGTAGCAGCGCAGGGGGCGGCCGGGGATGCGGAAGGGTTGCGCGTGTTGCGGAGGGGTGGTGCAAGCGTGTAAAGCGCATTTCGGCCGTGTGTACGGAGGTGAGGGCGGCGCGGTAATAAATAGATCGTAAACCGTAACCCGCGTCACACACAAACCGTCGGAGCGCGCATAATGGTAGGAAACAATGAATGCCGTAATCGGAAACAGTGCCGGTTTGTTATCTGCCATTTACACTCCATTTAACTTCAAACGGCGAATCGGCCTGCGCGCATTCGCGTTTTAAATACAGCCCGGTTTCCAACCACCGTCGAGAGCCGCCCCCACCATCGTTCTCCACCCCCGTCGCACTCCCACCGACGGTATGCGGCTTAACATAGGGTTAAGCTGTCGTCGAGTGGCTTAATATTGTCCGAAAATTACGTGAATTATCGCCTCGCGCATCCCGATGTCACTGGAAGAACTGAATCCGTACAGAAGTAACATTTTAATCTGCATTTACAGAGTAAAAAAAAAACAAATTATTATTTCTGATTGAATTAATCGTTTAGTTTTGATTCATATTGCGATTCAATATAGTGGAATTTTGAATAGGGTTATTTATAGAAATCTTGAGGAGAAAGGCGTATCATTAGTACGACCTATGCAGTATTCTGTACAGCAATAATCACAGTAGCGTGTAAATACAGGTAGTAAAACTTTTAATACAAAAGAGAATGCGTTTATAAATTATGGAACTATAAGTAAGTTGGATGTATCGATATTGAAAGAAGGAGACAAACTGAAATATCGTATATAGATGTTTAACGAACGATTCGATATATTCTACAATTGTCAGAAATATTATCAGAAATAATATTGACAGAAATATTAACTAAGATATCGCAATGTGTGTGTGTGTGTGTGTGTGTGTGTACGAAGTTGTTTTAAGATTAAATGTGATATATAAGTCTGTATAGTAAACTATTAATTTTTCTTCATTATAGAGATATCGATGTTCTGTTTCGTTTTATAAGAATTGATTTATCCAGATATCACGTTGTATCACTTTGTTGTAAATATCACATTGTACATAAGCACTGTATGTAATCTAGCTTGTTGTTAATTAATAAAAGAATATCCGTGATAATTAAAACCATATATAATATTTCATATCCTCTTGATTTATTATTTGCTGATAGAGGTTATTAGTTCATAGATTTATATTAGTTATTAATAAAATATTAATTGGAATTTATACCTACATATATTATGGAGTATATTTTTATATTTTTATCATTATTTATATTGTCTGTGAGAAAAAAATCTTTTTGCACAACATATACGTAAAGATCTTTATATATACCTATATATACATATATATTTTTTTTAAACAATTATTCTTAATTGATTTTGTTGGGCACAATACGAGTTCACAATGACTTTCCAGATATAGAATCGATCTTGCTCTTTACTTCATGGACGTCGTCCATCCTTCTCTTGTCTCCTCGGTGCTAAATCACCGAAAGCCGATTACGCGGCAATAGATTAATTTCTGGCCACTCAGAGACCTTTCTCTGACATCCAATTCGCGGGTGCCGGATCGATTGTTATTTCACCCTACGTTCGAGTAAAATAGTACATAAAACATCAAACAATCTCTCTTACATATTTATATTTGTAAGAGTTACAAAGAATCTTTAATTATAGAAACGGTTTGTGCATCAATTTTTTAATCACACCTGATATTAAAATACTTGCGTTAAAATATAATATGTATATCTCAATTATATATCCCAATAATACAGTTTGAAATTAAATATAGGAGAATATTGTGATGTAATTGTTGTTGTGATATAATTGGTAAGTTACGTTAAAGTATAGAATTAATACATTAACACTTATCGCATTATGTCGTTTTTATGAGTAAAAGATACCTCGCAAACTCTTTCACAAAGACAACTGGCTCTTGTCTCTCTCTTGAGAGAAAGTCATTGCAAAATCCCCTAAACGGGTAACGTTAAGCTCGTCGAAACCGCGGCCAATACGACAAACAATCTCTTACCGCCCTCGTTCCGGCTTAAGCTCGCCCCTTCACCACCCCTGAAGTAAGTGTACTTACCCTCTGCCCAAGGTCCATAAAGATAAATAACATGGAGCACCCGAACCTCGTAGTTGTATCCCTTACAGGGCGATGAAGGGACCCCTGAGGACTCCCATCATCCCTTCGTTCTTTTCATCATCCCTCTTTCTCTTTCTCATACTTTCTATCGTGGCAAAATTCTTTTCTCTTACTTTTATCTTTTCTTTTTATTTTAACTTATTTTTCTTCTGACTTTGATTCTTTTTAGATTAGCAAATATATTTCTCTATACAATCTTAATAAACGTAGATTTGCGAATTTTGTTTTCTAAATTTTAACTTTATTTAATAACAATTGTTTATTTTCTTTACATGTATGAAGATAAAATTCATGAAAATAAAGGTAATTAGTAAAATAAGAAAATTAATTATTATAAATTATTTGAAAAGCAAGAATAAATTAATGAAACAAAAGCGTTACGAGATCGGGGCCCCACGCTTTCATTTAAATCGAGCACCCTGTATCTGTCTTCCTCTCTCGCGATCAGTCCGCTGCTCTTCCCACCCTTGTTAGCGATACTTCCCGTGGAGAATCGCGCGCATGCTTGTTCTGTCAGTGAAATAATGACAATGTCATAGCCCGGGCCCGATTCGCCACGGCACCCTTGCCACGTGGGCGACGATTGGACGCGGATATGCTAATATGGCGTCCGTTCCGAGACATTAAGTTCTCGGTTTACCGATTCTCGCCAGACGAGCCGCGTCTTGACGTCCACATCACCTTCCGCCATTGTGCCTTCAATCACGGGATACGCATTTTCTTTGGGGATCTCATGGGGTCTTCACAAGGGAAGACATGAGTCATTGCTTGCATCCATAGAATTTGATCTATAGATTTTTCTAACTTGGAATTATTTTTACAAAATTTTCAAAATTAAGTTATACATGTATATAGAAGAGAAAGAAATTTTAAATTAATCGTATTAAATTGCATTATTTAAATGTAATATTGCGAAATATTGCAATATGCAAAAACCGATTAACTTAATTCACTGTTGTTTTCAATGTAACTTCCCGATTTTTAACTAATATGCAAACACAACGATATTAATCGAGTCTCGCGCATCGCTTTTTGCCTTAAGTACTTGTCTGTCCTTTATCATTGGTCACCCCGAATCCCGTTTGGTCACGGTCTTCCGGTACGATTATGTAACTTGACTGCGAACACGCAGCTTACATCGGTCTCACGATGCAGCCGGTTACAGCATTTCGGTGTCAATCAGGCGTCGCTAAACGATTTCGTTCGCGCAAGCTAGCACTTTTCTAGGGCATATGTTGTGATTTGCTCGTGGAGCTTCGCACGTATATTCGGTACGCTAATAGTGTCTATGAGATCTTTATATTACGCTTCTGATTTAAAGCATCGTTATTATCTTCAGAACTTTATCTTAATTTGAAAAACAAAAGATTCAAGAAATTTGACAAGAAGATTCCTTTTCGAGAGAGTGTTTCCATAGACTTTTTACATGTCTGATAAAAACTGGAAGTGCTTTTCATCGATATCATTAAGAATGTAAATGAGTATATTCTCACATTTGTTTTGCTATCTTCCTTATATATTTAATTAGGGCCAAGAGAATATTATTTCGCTCGCTGGATGAATTTTTGGTCATGGGTTTTCGCAGAACTTGACTGCTCCCGAAGCGCAACGGGCTTACGGGCGATCGAAGCTCGCGGTGGCAACCTTGAAACGTTGAAGCGGCGAGCTGTCTCGGCTTATTTACGACGTACGTATGATGAA